ACGAACAGCATCCTTCATAGGAAGTAATGAGATAATGCGCAAAACAAGTTCATCAGGCAATCTACTAAAGTTGTCCATGCCGCTGCACTGTCTCCCCATTTCAACCATCAAGGAAACAGCAATTTCACCGTCTACAAAAACCCTAAAATGAAAAATCCCTCATTCAAATGATTATCGCTCAGGCAAACGGAATCATTAATTACTTAAGAAACACTCAATAAAGGAACTGATGAAGGCAATTATTAAGAAAAACCAAGTATCGAAACATATATGGGCGGAGAATGCGTTAAACCTATAAAACAGAGGAACAAAAGGGGGAAATGCAAAAATCGGATGTCACCTGTCCTTTCCTTTCCTTTATTATTGTTAGTGTTCCGACTGAATGCTCCAACCGATTCAGAGAACAGCAAAGTGCAGTTCGAAAGTGATTTGTTGGCTTTGTGATGAAACCTGGGGGCCTGCCGGATTTACAGGGTTTTTGACTTTTGAGAGTTCATTCAACCATTTTGCATTTTATTTTCCGAGGAAGCAATATTATTTCTTTTAATTTTTAATAAAAAAATTTTATTATTTTTTCATAAAATGATTTTAGGACGTTGCATAGTGTTTAGATCCTTATAAAGAAATTAGTACCGTTAGATGCAAAGATTACCCTATAGAGCAATCCTAGGGGCACTCGCCTCCTGCACTCTCCGGCAAGCACTTTCTCTTTTATTGGGCCACGTTATGTTTGTTGCGGAGAGGTTACGCCTGACAGCTTTAAAGAAGCTTACGTGGCCCAATGAAAGGGGAAGCGTTGGCCGGAGAGTGCAAAAAGCGAGTGCCCCGAGCACTGCTCTTACCCTATGTCAGGGCCCATTTGAGTTTTTTCCTTTTTTATTTCATAATCTTTCCTTATCCTTTAATTTACTTCAACGTATGGTAAATAATCTAAATTCAAAATCTTTTATTTTTATTAGAAAAAAATTATCATTAAACTGTTTAAATCATTAATTTTCATATTTAATTTTTTTAATAAAAATAAAAAAATCTTAAATTTTACTCACATAATATATAGATAAATTAAATTAAAAATTAAAAAATAATTACCTTCTATTGCATAAGCTCTAACAAAGAACCAAAAATATTTATTTAATTTTTTTTTTAACAAAAGTAATCGTTAGTAATTAGATTAAGAATTATTAACAACTGAAGATTCAATCCCTAAAACAAGTGATTTCTCACACTTTTCATTGAGGCGCGCAATCTATCGAGCCACATGGTGGAGTTCACCAAAAATATTTATTGTCAACATATATTATGAGCAAATTAAGTGAAGTATTTATTGGTCATTTAGATAAAATAATGAGGTTTTTATCATTAAACACCCATCGGGTTTTTATTAACACCCTATCACGTTCTTCTTCATCAATAAAGGCAAACACAAAGATGTTATCACCTTGGTGACGAACTTGTAAGTCCCCTTCCATATTCGCCATAAATGAGCCATATGAGCTTGCAATTTTATAATATTCACTACCTTACGAGTAAGGATTTTTCCCACCAAGCGATAATACCCCAGCATTTTCCGAATGAGATGTAAACGAAAACAGTTCACTAGATACTCATGGAGAAGATCTGTGTCGCCTTAAAACTACTTTTTATCAATATAAGGAGAGTTTTGAACAGCATATAATTAAAATATAGGTACAAGTAGACAAAAAACAATCCATACACATCCAGAACAGAATGACATCCCTTACAAATAAGTTGTAATTAACTGAAATAACAACAAACAATTCAACAAAAAGGAAATACAGTGAAACCTAAACTATGTCGACAATGCATTCATTTGAGGCTCTTGGTAACCTTAGTAACTCTGGTGATCTCCAATTGGTCTTGATATTCTGCCTCAATATGAATTTCCATTCTTTCTAGAACTTTTGCACTTTGAAGAAAATACTTTGCTAGTTCAATTTCAACTTCACTGCCTTCAAACCATAAAAGTACAATTTTCTTCACGCAAAATGACAAACAATTTGATTTCATCTTCCTCTCGAGGGGATGGCCAATAAATAATTCCCTCTCCTGGGTACCAGTACTGCCGTAAAAAATCCTGATAAAAATCAGTCATAAAAATCATATATAATTTCAACTCTTCACTGACACAATTAATGGTCATTTCAGTCATTTCGGTCGTTTAATTTCATACCTCAAAAACAAGGGTTTCTAGTGACTCACAACGTGCAAGTATATACTGTAGTTCTGGAAAGCCACACTCTTCCCAAGAAGCAATTGTCAAATAAGTAACATTGTTAAACCCAGGGTTTGGAATGTCAAAATAATTAAATTCCTGCAAAGCAAAGCTATGGTTAGTTGCATCCATTTAGCACTAGAAAGATTATTAAAGTTAAGTATGAGGTTCATAATTTGTGGTTAGAAAACCTACACATAGAGTTAAACCACATATACGAAATGTCTGGATGTTGCTTATGGCTTTCATCAGATTAGCTACAGCATTTGCATGACTCCCCTCATAATCCTCCCATTCATGACATAGAAAACCAACATCGGCTTTAGCAAGAGTGTTGATGTTCAGAAATGTACAAGAGTATACATCCCAAACAGACAACTCCAAGTAGTCAAGACCAGGCGCATCAACCACAATCTCAGATTACAAACAACGCATTTCCAGTTAGTTTCCTTGAAACTGCATTTTAAATCCTCAAGAACAGGGCAGTTAGAAAATAGCCTTTTTCGGCAATCATCTGAAAAGGTAAAATCTACAAGGTGAAGAACCTTGAGACTAGGGAGGCAAACACTGGCAGGGACTTTTAAACTCGACTCATCAGAGCTGTCCTGCCCAGACTCAGAGTAAACACTCAACTTCAGAACCACCAATGTCTCACAAGTAAATAAACTAGGTGGCAGTAGCAGTAGCACCTTAGTATCAAGGGATAAT